GGCCAAGGAAAGATTCGCCCTCTCAAGAGCCTCAGCAGTCACCTTTTGGTGCTCATTGGAGACCTCCACCTTCTTTGTCAAGGAGGCCACCTCGCACTGTGACTCATATATTTCCTTCTTTAGGGCCTCAATTTGGGTCAAAGCAGACTCAAGCTTCGCCGCCTCTTCAACTCTCTGGGCTTTGGCTTCTTCGGCTTCGGCCTTAGCAACTTTAACCTCCTCTGCAAGGGAGGCAGCCTTCCCTTCCGAGGTGTGGGTCCTTGTCTGGAATTTGCTCAAGGCCTCCCTGCATTAGAGCGCGAGGCCAAAGGTCCGGGCGCTTTGGCTCACCAGTGCCCTTGTCAAGTCGGTGGCATCACAAGACGAGGCATGCAGCTGCCACCTCTCTGTCCAGAACTTGTAAAAGCTCTCGGTGGCACTTCTGATTTCCTCAGGGAGAGCCTCCACCAAGGCTGGGGCCAGCTCCTCCCCCCTCCGAGCTAGGAAGTTTGGAGACTTCCCCTTTTCCTGAACCGGCTTCTCCTTTGCTGCCTCCTTTTCGGCGGCTTCTGCTGCTCGCCTTGCGGCCTCTACCCTAGCCTCTTCAGCCTCTATCTCTCTTACCATCTCCATTTTGATGGCTTTGGAGGCTGCAACAAGAAGCTTCGGCTCTCCAGTCTGTTAGGCCCTATGGGACACTGAGGTCCCAAACTTGCTAGCTGAGCTGGAGATGTGCACCAGCTTCCTCTTCTTAGTCTCCTCAGAGACTTTCTCCTTGCCCCAAGGCTCCTTAGGCTTCTCTGGCCTCTGAGTAGTTGCCTCCTTCGAAGCCCTGGGAGTGCAGTCCTTGGACAGGTGCTCAACCCTGCCTCAGATTTCCTTTGCCCCGCTGGACCCAGGCTTCAGGGGCCTCGCCTTCGCAGTAGAAGTGGCCTTCAAGATAGAGGCCATGTCCGGAGCTGGGTACTCCCTCTTCTTGAATTTGTCTGCACAATACGTCAGATCAGCATCAGCATAAGAAACAATAAGGATAAAAACAAGGGATCAAGTGTTGGGGCCTCATACCTCTGGATGCCATCAACTCGAAGTCCAAAAAGTATCTGCTCCTGCCAATTAGGTGATCGGAGTGGCGAAGCTTCAGAGGCCTCTTGTAAATGTCCTCTATCACTTCGAATTCCTCCCTGCTGAGCTCGAACCTCCTACTACTATCTGCAAAGGAACCCCCAACAGTTAGACGAATTCATATTCTGACTTCAAAAGACAAGCAGAGGTCGGGAGACTCATGAGCTTCGTAGTACTGGGTCGGCACTGTGCATGACAGGGCTTTGTCACCCTCCACTGCCTGCCATTTACCTCGCACCCAGAACCAGGACTCCTTCCACCCCTTGATAGAGGAAGGAAGTCCCACCACAAAGGGTACGTGAGCCCCCCAAGGCGTGAGGTAATACCACCCCCTTGACTCCTTTCCAATTACCCGGGGCTGGAACAGGGTCATGAACACGTGAAGAGGCATGTCCTCCCCAAGTGACACTTCCTTCCATAGGAAGTACGAGCCGACCAGCTGGCTCCACCCGTTGGGCAGAACCTGGGTTGGCGACAGCATGAATTTCCTAAGCACCGCCCTAAAGAAGGGGTGCAGAGGAAGACGAATACCTGCCTTGAACAGGTATTCACACACGGCCACGTAGCTGCGCCTCAGATAACAGACCCGCTCGTTCGGCTCAGGGACTAATATCTCTATGTAGTGGGGTACAATGTACCTCTTCCTAAGCTCTCCCAACCTCTTCCCGGTCATATTAGAGGGCACTCTAGAAGCCCCCCACTCTTGGGTATAATCTACAGCCTCCTCGGCCATGGCATACCTATCCACCTCGGACATCCCTCCATGACCGACCCTATAGTCTAAAGACGCCACTGTAACAAGCTCCCTACCTGAAGTGGACTCCATTTTGCCAGTACAAAGACAGTAACAAGGGTTTTTTATTCAAACAGTACTTAAAGGAGTTCGACACAAACAGAGACTAGCCGGAATTTAATATCACAGACAACCTCGACGCCAGAAAATTGGAGATTTGAGAGAGTTTCAGAGTGCAAAGTGTTCAAAAATCCTGAAAATTGGGATTTTCTTGCCTTTTATAAAGGTCCAAGCCGAACCCCAGCCGTCAGCTCAAATCTCAGTCAATCCGAGCCTTCCATTTCAGATCCAATCCGAGGCGTTGAATTCAAACAGTTTTTAAATCCACGCGTCAGATTTATGCGTGCCTCCCACGCACCTCTCCAACACGTCTGCTTCTAGAAGCGCCAGCTGCCCTCATAATTGCATTTTTAATTCTACGGCAGCAGCGCCTTGGAAGTCGTAACGGTTCAGCCACCTTTCCTCGAAAACAAGCACAAAACATCAAATCATTGGCACAGCAGCCAACGCACAATCATTACCATTGGACCTCGGCAAGCCTTGCATGTTTGGTTCCTCAACCACGTCGGCTTCCTCCTCGCCATTCAGCAATCAAGCCTCGCAGGTTCGGTTTCCTGAACCACCTCGGCTTCCTCCTTGCCATTCAGCATCAGAGCCTCGCAGGTTCGGTTCCTGAACCACCTCAGCTTCGTCCTCACCATTCAGCAGTCAAGCCTCGCAGGTTCGGTTTCCTGAACCACCTCGGCTTCCTCCTCGCCATTCAGCAATCAAGCCTCGCAGGTTCGGTTTATTCAACCACCTCGGCTTCTTCATCATTCATCCACGGCAACACTTCTCGAACCCCAACCATGATATAAATATCTATACTTGGACTTGGGGGACTATTATTTGGGGTTCAAAAATTCTTTCAACTTTTACTCCATTAAAGTCCACGCATTACATTAATGATTATACTTGGATTTGGGGGACTATTGTTGCGTATTGTCGCACCTGTCCTACCCACCCGGGCCAATGGCCCACACATCCTGATCCACGTGGCATTCCTGCCGAGGTGGGCTACATCCGAACTTCTTCGAGCCGAGGTCCATCCACCGAGGCTCACGATCCGACGTACTCTGCCAAAGTCCAGCTACCGAGCCCCATGACCCAAAGCATGAAACCTGTTGAATTTAGCTGAGATCCTCAGGTGGAAGTATTTGTCAAATGGTCGAAGCCCCGAAGCTCATGCACGAGCCTCTTAACCACAAGGAGCTTCCTCCCACTGTCACTTCTCCCAAGAGATCGCCTGCTCAGAGATCTTATTCGAATGACTGATGGAATGTTTGTCACAAGTATAAAGGACAAGTCTTGTCACTAGTATAAAGGACCTGCGCAAGTAATAAATGCGTCGTAAGCTAGCAAGTCAAGTCCCATACCTAAGAACAGACGTTTGAACTAAAGAGATGAGGCCACGTGCCACTTCATCCAAGGGCTCCCATTTCATATGTATCACTATAAATACTCCCATTGTGTAATGTCAAAGGCTAATGCAAGAATCAATACTAAAAACTACATTTACTCAACTCTCTCTCAGTTACTTGCAATACACAAATCGAGTTTATACACTTTTACATATACATTTACGAGCACCGGTTGGTTATTATTGTACAATCGGATTACGAACAACCCGTCGGATTCCGAACGTCATCGTCCCGCGTCGTTGGGCTACTCCCACGCCTCTTTGAACCGCTCGTTTTAAACCGTGCACGTGTCTTACCGTATCGGACATTCGCCCACACAAGTGTGGGTGAGACCGGCATCTATTGACGCACTTTTTGGGGTCAACACTATCTATGTATAAAAAATTTGACTACTTTTTGGGGGAAAAAAAAATCGTTAGAATTAATGTATAAAAATTTTATCACTCACATGGATGTCAAACTAGGGGTTAAGCTAAGATGTGCATGTAGTGTGATTATTTTCGGCAAGGGGCTCGAACGGGCAATACTATGTTTATATAATTTTTAATAAATTTTTATGTTATATCTTATATTTTACTAATTTTATCTCTTACATCACACTCAGAGTTGTTTCTGTATGCTTTTCACATTTATTATATCATTTTTGTTTGCTTCTCACATTTATGGACTTTTAAATCAATGAAAAAGTGGAATAACATCTCTAACGATGAAACATAACATTATTCACTAAAATTTTGACAGTGCACTTCATCAGCTTGGAATAAGCAATAGCGTATGCAATACGCAATACACCCAATGTTCTGCCTAGACTCGAGAAAAAAATTCTCCACAGCGGCACGAGAAAATAAAGGTTCCTCTATGCAAAGAAACTTAAACGGTAGGCAATCAACAAGGTGACATTTAGTGAATAAATCCTGTCTAGAATTTGGACATGGCCCTACTTTGTTACACAGACGAAAGCAAACACATGAATACAATATATGCTATGCACATATGCTTGAATGTGTCAACATCATATTTATTAACAAGACTTAATGTGACAAGACGTCAAAAATTTTATTGAAGGACAATTAGAAGGGAAGTTTAAGGAGGACGACACATCTCAAATGCTGTAGGAGAATTGATATATGTTTTTTAGAATTGGTACTATATTTTGAACACGTTGCAACGTTATCCACCCTTAGCTAGTAAAAAGACACTAATGCACCAATGTGTTATAAAATAGGTAAATTTTTTCCCATTTATTAAAAAGATGTAGGGATGTTAAATGGGTCAAGTGACTCTCAATCCAATCCACAGAGCGAGCCAACTTGTGTTGACATATAGGGCGAGTCGAGTGTGAGCTGGCTAATTTTTAGAAATCCCTGCTTGGCTCTCCCGACCACCTTGTCCCTTTGTGGGATGGGTGGAGCGGATGGGTTGAGCCAAGCTAGACTGTCCAATTTTTGACAAAAAATTACATTTTAACTCATCTATTACAAGTCAGCTTGCACATGATTCGAGCCAATTCGGCTCGTTTGCGGCTGTTGGCCCCACTAAACTACCCTATAAATGTGAAGTTCGTAAATGTCTAAAATGTATCAATTGGATAACAAGTTTGTAATAACATATCCAGGCTCGTAGAGAGAGAGAGAGAGAGAACGAACCTGGAAATCATTGTTGATAAGCATTCCAACGGTACAAACGGCAGTAGCAAAGAAACAAATAACCATCTGTATCTCCAATACTAATGTATAAATAATAGTCTGTTTAGCCTTCAAATACATCAACTCCACCAGCGGCAAAATGAGTCCATACAAAGCTGCTGCAGCAAGTGTCAAGAAAAACCCTAAAAGATATTCCTTTTTCGATTCACCATCTGGTCTATCACTGCTTGTATGAAGACCCAAAATTACAGCCCCAGTAGTCAACAAAACTATAGCGCTTATCGAATAAGCAGTAAACTTCTGCTTAACAAGAAGAAATGCAAATCCTGCAGTGAATGCAAGCTGGGTAGAAATAATAAGAGCAGAGGTCGAAACTGGTAGTTTCGCAACACCATAGGCGTCGAGATGGGTATCGAGTCCGGTCAAAACTCCGATGGCAGCTGATGTGATAAGTACGCGAGGTTTCATTAAGAAGAACTGGGTTTTGTTAGTGGCACCACCAGTTTTGCGGCGCTGCATGTATGCTATTGTGAGAGGGATGAATATGATTGGCCAGGCACTGGTTTCTAGCCAGCTTGAAAACCAGATTCTTTTGCCTCCTCGGATGAAGTAGAGACGAATTACTAGAGGACCGCCGCAGTTGCCTATGGCTAGTATTATACAGTTGAGGCCCAGAAGGGCTTTCTTCATGGTGTTGCTAGCTTGAGTTTCCATGTTTGCTGTATCCAACAAACAGCAACCATCATTTAGGTATAAATAAGTAAATGATCTTAGGATATGGGCTCATGGAAAATTATAACAAAGAAAAGTATGACGTTTTATGAGACTGTCATTACATTTTTTACTTTTATTTTTAGAATAGCTTTTGAAGGAAGTTATTTTTATTGTAAGAGACATCATTAGAGTAAATACATACAGATATAGAAAGATATGAAATGTTTTAAAAAGTAAGGATTATCTTTTTTTTTTTTTTTTTTTTTCAAGGTGTCCGGGCTTGCGTCCGACTAGATCCTTGTCCCTGAACCTCCGACCCCTCAGCAGCTCAGGGAGGTAAATCGCAGGATGTGCCCTTGTTGGCTCCCAGGTTCCCACAACTTATTTGGATCCTTCCGCAAAGAGAGCTCTCCTCACTGGGCGTTTGTTCACACCAATGGCTTTCTCTCCATATGGCTCCCAGTGTTAACTCCAGGAATCGAACTCCCCACCCTTGCTTCCAGCGTCCCAGCGAAGTGATTGTTCCACCAACTCGGATGTGCCCTGGGGGGCAAAGGATTATCTTTTATCGTGGGTTTGATGGATTTAGTATGTGAAGGATTCTTAATTTTAATTTGTGGTTGGATTATTTGTTGATGTGCCTTTTGATTTCAAGTTAAGAAATTTCATTTTGAAATATTTGAGTTTTATTGTGGGAATATCTTTTCTTTTCTTGATTTTCTTGAATTGAAAACATTGGAAATTATCTTTCTCCTTGGATTATCAAAATAAGAATTTGAGTTTTCTGCTAAAATATTTAACTTTTTTCTCTTAATTTTATCAAATTCAAAACAAATGATGGCTGATCTATTAAAATTATCAAAACAAGTAAAAAACAATTTGACAGTGCTTATTGATTGTAATGATTGAAAATATGAAAGGATTATGAAGGAATTATGATATAGTAGATTTATTTTAAAATTTGAGATAAATATATAAAACTAGTGTGGATAATAAATGAAAGAATTGAAGTAATAATGATGAGATAAGTATATAAAAATGATGTGGATGTATAATGTAAAAAAGAATGAATTTAATAGGGATAGAGGTGTCAACAAGTTAAGTCAGCTCGCTAGCCGAACTCCTGGCTTAGACTTTTTTAAACTGGGCTTTTCTTTGCCCGAGTCGAGGCAACTTGATTTTTCCCCCTCTTAACTATCAGTTTAAGACAGTTATTTAGCTGCCTGTTGAGGCAACATTATTGCTGCTTGATTATTTGTCTTAACCAACAGCAATCTGTTGCTTGTTGGTAGCTAAAATAGTTGCTAGTGTAGCTGCCAATTGTCACGGACCTAGTTTCGTTACACCCGAACAACTAGAACCGTGCGGCCTTAACGCTTGACAATTCCCGCACCTCACGAGAAAACGTTAAGTCAGCCTTTCCACGCTCACAAATAATTTAACCAAGGAGGCTAAATTATACCTACGTTGAGAGGAGAATTTAGAAGTAAAGGATATATGAAAAACAAGTAAGGTCGAGAAACTTTCTTTGTATAAGTGAAAGGGAAAACTTTACAATCTCTCTAAGGAATAAATTCACTCAACTCTACATGATTTACAAATGAGACTTCCATCTCTATTTATAGGCAAAACTTAAACCTCCTTAAGATCAAGTGGCCTTACTTTACAACCTACGCTTAGTTGTTCACAACTCGTGCTAGTTGTTTACAACTCATGCTTAGTTGTCGTCAAGTGGATAAGTTTACAACTTTCCTTGCAAGTTGTCGCCAACTCAATCTTAGCTTGCATAGAAGATATTATTCTTGCCAACTCGTGCTTAGCTTGCACCTTTGATAAGATCTTCGCCAACTCGCGCTTAGCTTGTATCTTTGAAAATATCTTGCAAGTGGCACAAGTGGACAAGTTGTGCAAGTTGCCTACTTGCATCCTCAAAATATTCGGCTGCAGGTTCAAATATTTTTCCTCCCAAAATGGCTGGGTCGGGACATAGAAAAACCTAATTAACGCCCTGGAAAACTGCACGATCTAGGCAGCCTGCATTCTGCCCCAAAATCATCTATGCATCCCCAGCCCGAGTCTACCTGTGACCTTTGTCGAATCTGCCTACGTCCCCTATCGCAAGCGGTTCCGTCCTTCTGAAACGCATTACCCACATTGTCTTGCGATCGCTACCGGGACGGATCGAACATGACCGCGTAGCGTAAGTTACTCCCCCACTGAATTTGGCGACACCCTCATCGCCATATATCGCCGAAGCATAGACCTTATTTCCCATAAGTCTATCTCATTTTCCCACCTTGTGCCATGACATTCACGTGTCATGCCAAGTTTCAAGTCATGACCTTGCGATCCGTGACATTCTCCTCCACTCAATCCGTTAACGTCCTCGTAGCAAAACGTGTTCGGTGCATCCTTATGCAACCTTGCATTGTCTTTCACGTCCCTGGGCATTAAAGTTCTCCCAACTTGCGGCACCATCTCTTCGATGACCGGGTTTCCACAGTGCCCCTTGCACCTCTTCCCGTTGCAACCTCTTGCACCCCACCTTCGACACCAACCTTCACCCTCAGCACCTCTGCCTTGGTTCCTCGGATGGACAACTCCTCTGGTTGTAGTGTCCCCACGCTTTTCAAAGTTTTGAACCTTCGTGCACCCAATTTCGGACTTCTTCAACAATGCTTCCACACTTTCCTTCTTTTTCGGTAGTTCCTCGACAACTCCGTGAGCATAATGTCCTTATCATCTTCAAGGACTTCCGCAAACTGCATCCCTGACAGTTGTTGTGTTTCCATCCCCACAGAAACTGTTTCGGCACTTATAGCATTAAACAACTGGAATGAATTCATTCGAACTTCATCCTCATCTTGGCTACCTATGGCCTTCGATTTGCTCTTCGAAATGGAAATAGATGCCAATGATCCCAACTCAGGACAATCCCTCATGAGATGTGGTCCTTTGCAAATAAAGCAACCTCGAGGTGTAAAATTACTCCTCTTCTTCTCATCGTACTGCTTACTCCAAGTAGTTGGTTTGTTGCCAACGGGTTTGTAATCAACTTTGGGATTTGGCCTCCAATCCGGCTTACTCCATTGCATAGCTCTCCCTGTATCTTCCCTGTTACCCCCAAAATTTCCTTTGGCGGGTTTGATAGTTTGAGCTTCGGTCTCAAAACTTTCTTCAAACTCCGTCAAGGATTCGGCTACTGCAATTGCCTCGTCTATGGTTTTAACATCATGACGTTGCAACTCTTGTCGCACCCATGTTGCACAACCGTCTAGAAAATAGAATAGCATATCTTCTTCCGGCATGGTTGGGATTTGAATCATAAGGGTCGTGAACTCTTTGACATATGTTCGGACATGTCTTGTGTGCCAACAAGACAAAGTGGAGAATAAATTACCAGCGGGACTTCTTGATCCTCTTCCTGTTCCGAATCAACCATGGGACGTGATCACCATGGATTTCATTAGTGCCTTGCCAAAGTCTGAAGGGTTCGGATCAATAATTGTTGTTGTTGATCGGTTTTCCAAGTATGCTACTTTTTGAAGGTGTAAATCTTGTTGATGAAGCCATGAAAGTCCGAACTGCTTCTATGTATCTCTCGGATATTGCGGCGTTGTGGTGGTGTCGTAAGCATGGCGAAATTGCAAGGGGGACTTGCACGGTTGATACTTGGGAAGAGTTCAAAAGGGAAATAAAGAGGCAATTCTACCCGGAGAATAGTGTCTATGAGGCGCGCAAGAAATTGAGGGAATTGAAACATATGGGAACAATTCGTGACTATGTCAAAGAAGTTCAAAATTGGGTGCACAAAGGTTCAAAGTTTCGACAAGTGTGGGGACACTACAACTGGAGGAGTTGTCCATCCAAGGAACCAAGGTAGAGGTGCTGAGGGTGAAGGTTGGTGTCGAAGGTGGCATGCAAGAGGTTGCAACGGGAAGAGGTACAAGGGGCACTGTGGAAACCCGGTCATCGAGGAGATGGTGCCGCAAGTTGGGATAATTTTGATGCCCATGGATGTGAAAGACAATGCAAGGTTGCATGAGGATGCACCGAAGTTTCGCTACGAGGACGTTAGCGAATTGAGTGGGGGAGAATATCACGGATCGCAAGGTCATGACTTAAGGCTTGGCATGACACGGGAATGTCATGGTACCAAGTGGGAAAATGAGATAGACTTATGGCAAATAAGGTCTATGCTTCGGCGATATATGGCGATGAGTGCGTCGCCAAATTCAGTGGGGGAGTGACTTACTCCTCACACGGTCGCGATCGATTCGTCCCGATAGCGATCGCAAGATAACGCGGGTAACGCGTTTCAGAAGGACGGAACAGCTTGCGATAGGGGACGCAGGCAGATTCGGCAAAGGTCGCAGGTAGATTCGGGCTGGGGATGCATAGATGATTTTGGGGCAGAATGCAGGCTGCCTAGATCGTGCAGTTTTCCAGGGCGTTAATGAGGATTTTCTAAGTCCCGACCCAGCCATTTTGGGAGGAAAAATACTTGAACCTGCAGCCGGATATTTTGAGGATGCAAGTGGACAACTTGCACAACTTGTCCACTCGTGTGCCACTTGCAAGCTAAGCGCGAGTTGTATGCAAGCTAAGCATGAGTTGGCAAGGATAAATATCAACGGTACAAGCTAGGCGCGAGTTGTATGCAAGCTAGGCACGAGTTGGCGACAACTTGCAAGGCAAGTTGTAATACCATCCACTTGAAGACAACTAAGAATGAGTTGGCGACAACTAAGCACGAGGTGGCGACAACTAAGCGCAAGTTGTAAAGTGGAAGGTTAAGGAGGTTTAAGTTTTCCTATAAATAGAGGTGTAGTGTCATTTGTAAAAGGGAGGTAGTAAATGTAGTAGATGGAGTAGAGGTTAGAGAGTGTAGAGAATATAAGAGTGAGTGAGTTTATTCTTTCAAGAGAGATTGTAAAGTTTTTCCTTTCATTTATACAAAGAAAGTTTCCCCATCTTTACTTGTTTTCCATATATTACTTACTTCAAAA